GGAAAAAATGGAAAATAGACAATGTACTCTCTCACCTTAGCGACAATGTACTCTCTCACCTTAGCGACAATGTACTCTCTCACCTTAGCGACAATGTACTCTCTCACCGTAGCGACAATGTACTCTCTCACCTTAGCAACAATGTACTCTCTCACCTTAGCGACAACGTACTCTCTCACCTTAGCGACAATGTACTCTCTCACCGTAGCGACAATGTACTCTCTCACCTTAGCAACAATGTACTCTCTCACCTTAGCGACAATGTACTCTCTCACCTTAGCGACAACGTACTCTCTCACCTTAGCGACAATGTACTCTGCGTCCTGTGGACTGTCCACCTGCAGCTTTTGGGCAATGTCGGCGAGGGATATGCGCGAGTACGACACGTTGATCATGCGCACGCCCGTCTTGATGACGTTGTGACGCAGACGCACGATTAGCGTGTACGTGTCGTCCGCCTGGAACTGCGCGCTGAAGTTACACAGCACCTCATTGAAGCGGGACAGGTCGCCCGCTCTCACAGCTGGAAAATCGCAAATAACAAATCACAAATCACAAGGAATTAATCTTCTTGATCACCCTGATATCCTTGTTAGCAGCAACTCGTTTAAGCGAGACAGGTCGCCCGCTCTCACAGCTGGAAAATCAAAAATCAAAAATAGCAAATCAAAAATCAAAAATCACAAGGAATTACAAGTCCTGGTAACCTTGTTAGCAGTCAGTACTTCAGCTATTTGGGAAACAAACCACAAGGAATTAAACTTCCCAATCATCATCCATCCTCATTAGCTGTAAGCACTGTCAGCTATATGGGAAAAAATCATAACTAATTAAACTTCCTGATCATCCCCTGTAGGAATAACTATTGTCAGCTGCTTGGAGGAAAGCATAAAACGTTAACCTTCCTGCTCACCCTCCATCCCAAGTAGAAATAACTTTAAAAGTCAACAATCGCAAGCACTTGGTGATGCTACATGGAAAATTTATTCTCCGAATGGGTATCGTGATCATTCGAAAACATTTCATTAAATTTAGATATACAGACAGCCAATATAATAAATGTAACATGAAATTTGTATTCGAGGTACAGGTAACCGTTTTAAATGTGTTGCAGACACCAGCAAAGAATCATTTCGTCAGCATTTGTTGTTCTACCAATCTATACTAGTCTCCTTTTAGACTAATGCACAAACTAACATTGCCTAAAGTATATGTCAAATACTCAAGAATTTGTACTTATTTGCAAGAAGATTACCATTCAGGTTTATTTCCTGACTGATAAAAAACTGCCTTCAGCACAATAACATATCTGCTTTAACACATACCCTGTGTGAGTTGGAAGTATGGCTGCAAAGTCTTTCGAAGCATTGTCTCTCTGAATACAGCCCGGTCTGGGATGTCACCCAAAAGTAGCTCCACTGTGATAGCCAGCTTGTGAACCTATAAAACACGTCACATGTCAAATCTTACCCACAACGGCTAAAACGTGATGCATCGGATAAAAAATACTCCAGTGGCCTTGATAAATGATAGTTTTAAAATAATGATTTCAAACATATACTTAAAACAAAGCAAACCAGATTTCACATAAGAATACTAGACTCACCGTCTGCTTGAATCCTGCAGCAGCATTTGTTGTAGGAGCCTTTCTAACCGCCTGTAGAAGATTCTTGTGTGCTTCTGAGTATTCGAGCTGTGTTGCCTTGATGCGACCTATAACATCCACCATGATTAGTGAATTCGTTCGTCAAAATGCTAATAAAGTGTACAGATTGTTGCGAATTTTTACAGACCCCATAATGTGTCATAATTTCAATACTCTATAAGATAAGAAGTCCCCTGTCTTGTTACTAACATATTAGGCAGGTGCACCTGACGTTTCACTCAACGTTTCACTCAAGAGCAGCAGATTACTAGCCAGACATAAAACTTAACCCATCCAGTATATCAGTGAAACATATCTCGTTTGCAAAATGCAGAACTATAATGAATTTCCAATTCTGGTTCCAAGTGGCGTATCAGATCTCATTAACGATGTCGTTTCGGTACATGTCACAGGGTTCAGTTTACGGCGTGGGGTTTCTCAAATTATCCCAACAGAAAATGTAACAATGAAGTTCTACAGTAGGCATCACCTCAAACTAATCAGGATGCAGTGCTTTAGGCAACCACCAACACTAATCAAGGAGCTAAATATAACAAGGAGAGGAAGCGAATTGGCTGTGTGCTTTTCGCCTCAAGGGCGCCATCTATGGACCATAATCAGCTGAAACGGCTGTGCCGACCGAACACAGAGACAATAGAACACTAATCTGTTCTAGGGTTACTGCCGAACCCAAATTTGGGCCAGATATGGCGTCGCTTCCTCTCCTTGTTATATTTAGCTCCTTGACACTAATGACCAGGGCGGGAATGCTCACCTAAGTAGTAGAGATACCTCGCCCACTCGTTGTTGTTCGCATTCTCGGGAAACGTGGACTTTGAGACGAGTTTGTCGGCTTGATCGTACAGCTTGTAGTGAAGGTAGTTACGCAACAGCAGGTTCAGCAGACATGACACTCCCTCATCATCGTGACGCAGCGTCGATGTACGCAAGCGCGCGTGCAGGAAACTACAACAACACCCAGGGTTAACGCGAGTCCGGAGTCAAATACTCCCCGATTTACTGTCGGACTCCCTGATTTTACATATGCAGGAGTCCGTGCGACTCCCTGAAAATTCTGCTATACTAACTAGTTCGTTCCAGGGCACGGCCTCCTTATTATTCCCACGCGGAATTACCGTATTTTTTCAGCAAATGTCCAAAGAAAATTTGGCAGACGTGCAACCGCATGAATCTTCAAAATAATCACATGCGTTATTATTAATATCTTTAGTTTTGAACTTCAGACTGCGGACTCCCTCATTTTGCCGCGGACTCCCTCTTTTTGAGGGCAGGGACTCCGTTGGACTCCCTTGCACAAAAGTTAATTTCTACCCCTGACATCAGTGCGATGAACAAGGACCCAGTTTTGAAAAGTGTGCTGCATCAAAATTAATTTCGTTTTTGACAATCAGCTTCAGGCCATGATCCACAATAGCTTTCAAAGGCAATTACCATTAATAATTTAATCCACCTTATTAATGTTTTAACTTAGCAATTCATATTTCTACTACTTATGTACATCGATAATCACAATTATATGCTTTAAAATTCTTGCATTGCCACCCAAGTTTAACATATTGCATGTTAAGATAGTATACTGTGTTTAATCCCTCTCTACACATATAATAAAACCAAGTTATGTACTTTTTAATGACAGTGGAACCTCGATTTTATGCGCCCCGATTTATCACGAATTCGGATATAACGCGATGAGTCATTGGACCCCGTTTTTTGCACTCATATTTAACCACGTATATATATAACCCCGATTTAGCGCTTCCCCGCTTTTGTCGCGATGATATTTTATGTACCACAACCATCGCGTTATAACAGGGCTACACTGTATTTACCTTCTGATTGTACTGAGCTGCCCAGTCAACTCATGTGCACGGGAGTAATAAAAGAAGCACTTGGCTGCAAGTGAATCCAGTGTCCTTCTGTTATACGATACAACCTTCTCTGTCAATGAGGTTGAGCACTTTACAGCCTAAAACAACAAATCATGGACCATAATTAATAAATCCCACAACTGCAAAACCAAAGGCTGACGAATAAGAACCAGAGTAAAATTCACCAAGTTGAGCAATTTAACTAGTTTTACTCATGAATAACAGTTTTCCACTAAATTTCTGTCACTTGACGATTCTGAGCTCTGCATAACCATCGCTCATGATTCTTGTTGATTGCCAAATAAATTGTGTTTGTGTACGTACCATTACCATTACAGACTACATAATTTATACTGCATACATATACCATATTTGCAGTTTCGTTAATTAACTGAATTCTTTTTATCGTAACTTGAAAGTTACAAGAGCGTCTAGGATCTTGCAGTAGTAAGAAAAATTGTTGCAAGGATTTTCCATTCTCATAACTTTGCGATGTTTCTGTCAATGGTCTACGAGAGAAAAAGTTCATATTAAGACTTTAAAAATTAATTTTGTTTCTGACAATGAGCTGCAGGCCATAATGCACAACAGCTTTCAAAGGCAGTTGTCATTACTAATTTAATCCACGTACCTAGTGTTTAGCTTACCAATTCATATTTCTTGCCATCTATCAAATACACTAAAACAAGCAGGTGTATGTAAACTTCAACCTCTGGGAGTAGTGGTTGCGACCTTATACTCTTGGGTCTCAGTGGTGCCACAGGACCATCTGCTTCCATAGGCTGAAACAGATATATACATATAGGGTGATCAGAATTATTACAGACATATAAATAACTGAAGACATGCAACTTATTTTATACAAACACAAGCTATATTACTCATGAGACAAAAGAAAGAAATAATAAATACAAGTAATAAATTAAGAACAAGAAAGAAACTGAATTGTCTAAATACAAAACCATCGGCTGTCATTGGTATGAAATTATTTCGATTCGATTATTGATATTTTTGTTTTCGATATTTCGATCTGATTCGATCCGATTCGATTTACTATGTAATAAAACATGATGTAGCAAAAGAAACTTTAGCAAAATATTCCGACACATGACTTCTCTTTCCTTTCCTGGACCTGAATGAAAAAACGAATCAGGCAGGAATATGAAATCTCAAAAAGATTTCTAGTGTATGAAGTATGTATATATATATATAATAAAAAAGATCGTGTGTAGTGACGGAAACGATATTGTGCAGGGGTCGAAATTAGCGGTACCCCGATATCCGCGGGATAGTAGATTTTTGTGTTGGATGCCAGATTTCCAAAGCTTGGTATCCCGCTTCGATAGTAATATACAAAATCGTCAAAATAGGGATAGTGGTTGTTGAGTTATCAACTTTATACGGCAGCGCATCTGAGCGAGTGCGCGCGATCTGAACAGGCTCAGGCACCCTGATTCTCATCGGTCTCGCTGCTAGCATGATGTATCCATTAGGAACCAAACTGAAAAGGCTGTTACTACGCCACACTAGCATTATACAGCGGGCATAGTATAAGCGTATAAACTATAAAGCGTGGCGGATGATAAAGCTATGTCTCCACACATGCGGCACGACACAGCAAAACGCAGCACTGTTGTGCTGAAAAAAAATACATTGTGATATCGCGCATTGTGTTCACTCCTGGGTCATGGGGGGGGGGGTTGCAGGTCAGCGATAGTGATGGTATACATTGTATCAAGAGCATATAAAGAAGGAGAGCATACAACGGTGAAATGCTGAAACCATGTTGCAGTATTAGTCGAATTAATAAACTTTCCCCATTTTATTTTGACGATTCTTTGCAGTATTATTGATCAGCTGTCCTACCTTGCTAATATAAAACAAACCGCTTGTCCCTATGATGCCCCTACGCTGAGATAATGAGCGGTGAAAATCTGGTATTTTCGCCGAAAACCGACTTGAGATCAGTCAATACTGCGACTGTCTCTCGTTCTGGCGATAGCTTCAGGAAACCTCGCGTGTTTCCGTCATTCATTGACAATAAAATTTATTTTCCTTCTACTATCTTTTCATGCATTTCCAGTCATTTACGCAGCTATTACTCCACGAAAACGTCTTGTTATTTATCGCAATGGTGATGGCCCGCCCTGGCCTACGCTGGATGTAGTAACGCTGTAGTAATAACGTATCGAGTCAGCGCTACACAGCGGCGACTGGAAGCAACATACAGTGCACAATACGAGAGACAGTCGCAGTACTAACTGATCTGGAATCGGTTTTCGGCAAAAATACCAGATTTTCCCTGCTCATTATCTCAGCGTAGAGGCATCGTAGGGACATGCGGTTTGTTTTATATTAACAAGGTAGAACAGCTGATCAATAATACTGCAAACAATCGTCAAAATAAAACGGGAAAAGTTTATTAATTCGACTAATACTGCAACATGGTTTCAGCATTTCACTGTTGTACACTCTCCTTCTTTATACGCTCTTGCTTGTATCAAGCAAGCCAGACAATACGTCTAGACATGTACGTTTCAGCGTATTGTGCAGGCCTGGCCGTATGTAAAATGGACGTGAGCTCGCTGGCGTAAAGATGTACCAACTCTTTATTTTTATATACTGTATCGGATCGCTATTTTTCGTTTTATTTCGATATCGATAACGGACGCAAATCCATCGCGATTCATCGATGAGGTGGGTATCGATGACAGCCCTAAAAAATATCATTAACATAAAATGTGAAATACCTCTTCAATGAAAGCCAATAACATATCCTTCATTTCCGAAGTCGGAGGAAAGAATCCTATGATCACACGTCGCAAAACATTATGGTTTAATCTTCGGCGAGTAGGAAGCAGAGCTCGGATGACACGAAGAACAAACCTGGGCTCTTTTGTATTGACACCCTTTTCAATCACTTTTGCGTGCTCTTTAATATCTAAAATGTGTACATATAAACAGACAACATTAACATTTCTGAAATTCTAGTTACGAAGCTAAGAACGGATTAATACGATGGAACAATTTACAATGGTGTCAGCTTATAAGATACATATGAAGAGTATTCAGTTTATTAACGCGTTAAATAGATAATTTTACCTTCGACTGTCAACAAATCTGGATCTCTTTTTGTCTCGGTCTCTGAACCTTCCTTTTCTGTAACAGTAGGAGGGCTACTTGCGTCCTTCATTTCTACGTCGGCTTTAGTGTCTTTAGCCATCTTTAGTATTTATATAATTAAGGAGTAATTGTTTCCACTAACAATAGTAGTAATGCCCTAAAAATTACACAAAACCATGAGTCGATGCTTTCTATTTATCAAATATGTCGGGCTTAGCAGGAACGCACATACAAACCGGAACTGATGTCTATTGGTTTATAACAATTTACGTTGAATATATGCAAAATTTAGTACACTATACAGTGAATTAAATTTTCCTATTTTAATTATTTGTGATAGGGTGCTTAGATAAATGCTTTAATATGTAAACGTATAACATTTTATTATATTATTTATTAGCCAATCAGGTAGCTACCAGTTAAGTCGTCGTCAACAAACATGGAAGAGGCTAATGTTCACTCAACTCCTGGGAAATCCCGAAAAACTGTTCTACAAAGGAAAGCCAGCCGTGCCAAAGAAAAGGTAACGGTGTTAAAATGATTATTAGTGTATATTCCATGATTTATTTTACTTATTTTTGACGGAAACTCTGCCTAAAAATGGCAAAATCGATTTTGCTTTCTTCGCACCGCCGACCCGTGTAACCTGCTGATGGGTTGCCTGCAGTGCAGACACCGCCCCGATACCAGCAAGTAGTTGCTAAGCCTAATCTGCTGGTGTTACTCCTCAATATTACATAGTTACCCATAGATCCCACTGCCTGCTCGTAAAATATAATATGCCCTGTGTGTTTATTTTGTTAATTGAAGTTGATGTCGTTTTATTCGTTAATTACATTGGTTGTGGAAAATTGGAAATATCGATCACTAACTGTAGAGTAAAGTCTAGAATGTGTTGTAGTATCAAGCATTCTATCAACTTTGTAAATTTGTTGCTTTAAAATAATGATAATTTATTAGTAGTAGTATTGTTATGCGAGTAACCTGTATTTATCGGCTTAACAGGATTCCCCCCCCCCCTCCCTCCCTCCACCGACTTAAAACATTAAAACACCCAAAAGCACCTTTGTCAAACTTGCCTTAGTCAAGCGGATGTGCGTTCATCTGATTCTTACCCATGTGGATTTCCGGGCCACCCCCCATGTATTTCATTCTAGATGCTGAAATGGTGCCGCCCATGCAACACCAACAGAACAAATAACAATAAATCACTATCTATAGGCGTTCGGTAAGGGAACTCCTCAAGGTCAAATGTTTTACAAGCTGGCTATTCAGTTATTAACGAAGGCTATCAGCTATTAAACAAAGTTTAAGTATTCCAGAATCTAGCTGGTAGTTATTATATGAATTTTAAGGCGGCCCAAACAGTCTCATGTGCACACGTCAGTGTAAAAAATAACTTCCAATTCATGATTTATGCTTTTGTGCCATTAAATTAAACGTGTTGATAACTTAGTATGTAAAATGTAATATTAAGCTTTCAATAACGGCATTAGCTTTCATGCAAAAATCACGAAATCTGTTGAATCTACTTTTGTAAAATTGAGTAAAACTTTCAGATTTATCACTCATGTAACTATAACATTATTTTTAAACGTGATGCTTTTTGTATAAAGGTTCTGCTAATGTTTACAATGTACATGTGTTTTATTCAACTTCAGTTCTGTATACAGACTGAGCCACATGGTGGCTCGTTTGGTATATTTTCCGTAGTTCAGTGCCCGGTATATTGAGTCTTGTTCCTGTCACGTTATTCTAATGATCACCAGGACACGTTCTCGCTGTGTGCCCTGTAGAACTGTTAGTACCTGTCAGTTTTATGTGTCAGATGGATAAATAGACCAGAGTAGGACATAGGACATAGGTAGGAAATAGGTGGGAGTAGTTACTAGTCAGGCGTATGCATTGGCTAAGCTATAATATTATTGTTCCAGTTTGCCTTACTTGTTTCGTAATGCTGTCTTAATTGGCCGCACAGTATTGTGCCATTCAAATATATATGATTGCGCTGACATTGTAAGTGAGAAGGTAGTGAGTTTAATTGGTTGTGTGTTTCTCTAATCATCAGCCTGTATTTGTGTATATCCGTTTTTTCAAGTAGTACTTTGGTTACTAGACCATGTCAGTGCTATTCGTCTTGATTAATTCCCCATATATGCACGCATAGGCGATTATGTGTACTACTATTGTTTGCTAGCACTCAATCATCACATTTGCCTACTACACCGGCTCTGTGCCTTGCTACCCAGCGATTTTGCGTGCTGCCGGAAATTATACAGGGATGTGTCATCCCTCACGGCCCGAGGCTTTCAGGCAGCGGGCAATCTAGCTGCAGTTTTGGACACATTAGAGATGAGTAAACCTGTTTCTCTGCTGGAATGTCAGCCAGGTGGGGGTGGGGGGGGGGTATATTGCCAAGCATCTAATGCTAGATAATCACCTGCGTGCAGCCTATCTCATTCTCTAATGTACGCTTTATAGAAGAAATTAAAGAATGTAATTTTACTGTAAGATAACGTCAACACCATGCGTTCAAGTTATGTGTGTTTAGTAGTTACATTTTTAATTGTAGAGATGTTAGACATAAATTTATTAATATATAAATTATAATCGAATAAATATTTGGAAAAGGAATATTTATCTGTGTGAATGCAGTGGTTCTATAGATAACGTTAATACACGACATGTAACAGCGTTCATAGCAGTAATAGTGATTCTAGCATTTTGAACTATAAATTGAATGACATGAACCTTTCACTGGTTTTACCCCTATAGAAACAATTGAATTGGCTAAATTACTATCTGAATAGGTAGGAATGTTAACGCTGACCACTCCTTAATTGTAGACGCGTGCTGTGAGGTTCTGTAGTGATCTGCATATGCCATTAAGGCAGCTCGCAAACTAGCTGTATACTAGCTGAGCTCTGACCTTGTTTCTTTCATATTTAAAAAAGCTCGTCTTTATGTGCCTTAGCAGATTAGCTAAGTGCCGTCTCTGTCCTTCCGTGTGAAGCACGTGACTTAGGCTCAGCCCCATGCTATGTCCGCTGTGGCCCCATTCACATAAAGAATCAGAAAGTTGGACCCCTGCTGTAGATTTCTTGTGAATGAGGAAGTGTTTGCAAACGAGGCCACTGAGGCAAGAACTTGACAAGGGTTCGTTTTGTCGATTTTCATCCACTATATAATGAGTTTCTGGGTTGATCACAAACGGATTCGACGCGATTTCGCTGTTGCTTCTAAAGGCGCACGCGGCTGCTTATCTGTCCTCATAATCCCTTATAAGTTATAGCAACCTTCATTGTTGCTGTTTGTGCCTTACGCGAAACCCAGTCAAAGATTGCATAGCGGATTTGATCCCCTCCCGGTTCAGCTGTGGCTCAGGGTGTTGTATACATGCGGTAGTCAGAATGCTTAGCATTCGGTTCTTATCTGGGTAGTGTACGTACAGGATGTCTCAGACTCGTCTTTCCTTTTAAGCAGGTTGCTGCTATTGCACAGTTTATTGAAGCAGATTTTTATACTCTGAATATGCAAATTGCAATATGTCTGTGTGATGACACGTCACCTGTCTGTATCCAGCTGTCAATTGCCTGAATAGCGGCTCCATATTTCAAAAGAACCCCGTGTATTGGTGCAATGCCGATCCGTTAGTCGAATCATATGAGAAATTCAGTGGCAGCCGCTTTGTTAATCTTTCACGTTGCGGTAAATCAAGATAAACACGTAATTGTGGCAGTCGTGTTTAGCAATGACAGGATCATGAACTTTGCTGTAGTACATATTTGCTAATCTGCGATTAGTGAGCCTTTGGCCAACATCGCGATTTCTTGTGTACCAGCGGAAGAGCTATTATCATTTGAGATAAGTGGCCGCATTAAGTGCCTATCACATCCAATGATCCGCAAGTGAAATATGTGCGTGTTATATATTAAAAGTAAACTGCCAAACCTGACTAGCATATAAACTGTCTACATTGCTTTTCACATGGTGGAGCATATATATAATAGTAATAATAGGTATTACTAGCTATTATTAGGTATTATCAAGAGTAGATAATAACACATTATGTTATTAATATATTAATACACATTGTGTTATTATCTACTCTTGGTATTATTAATAGCTACTAATATGTATTATTAGCTCTTGATATAATATATCTGTTATTCCCTCTACTGCTGCATAGACAGACTTACACAGCGCCTTCACTGCTGTGTCACTCAATGGCCATGCCGCTCTGGTAATATCTATTTATCTAAGGAACCGTGATTTAGTTTGGCAACAAATGTGAACAGCGGTGAACAGCAGTGAGTAGGTGCCACTATAGGGTCGAGTAGCCTGTGGGACACTGGTGTGGACGTTTGTGTTTGATATCGTTGGTGACCTGAAATAAGTCGCTTCTGCTTAAACAGAAGTAGCCTCAATGACCCTATATATGACAGCCACATTATCACCACTATCGCCACTATTTGTACCATCCGTGTTACCTGTATCTATCGCACCGATACTTGTGAAGTGAATCATTTACTTGTCGGGCGGTATCTCTCGTAAAGGCGTCGTAACGGTGTGGTTACAGTGATAAGGTCACAGTAAACGTTGTATTGCTATATAGGTGTAAGTTGCAAACAACAAACAAATAACGTAAAGTTTAAAAGATAATTTGTAGGTCATCATACACAAGGTTGTTGTTTATTAGTAAGTGAGAAATTTGTTTAGACGGGGTCATAACAAGAAGCTATGTTGCAAAGATAGACTGACTATTCTTCTCTGCACTTTGAAGTTAGCAGACCATAGAAAAACGGTCGCTGATTCTGCGTGTACCCTTGCCGTACAGTTTTGGCAAGCAGCTATGGCGGATTCAGGGTATACAGCATCTAATTTTAGGAACCAAAATCGTACCCTAGCCGCTATAGTTGCTTACTGTCCTAGGTAAGGTTGGTACGTAGGTGCAATTATAGCTAGAATGCTAGCATGAACGTATGTGTAATGCTATTCCATACATGGACTAACGCTCCATTAGAGTGTTCCAACTTTGATATGATTAATGATTGAATCTAACCCTAACCCTAACCTTAACCTAAATGACATTAAACCACAAACTAATATATGACCATGACCATATATATATATATATATATATATATATAATATATTATATACATATATGTTATTATGACCATAAATGTCATTAAAGTTGGGAACACTCCTAATGGAGTATCACCCCTACAGGAGTTCGAACTGCTATACGGTAACACGACCTATCGGTATATCAGAGTATAGAAGCCGAGTAGAATAGACCACCTACGCAGGTAACGCAAGCTGCGCGTGACAAATATCTGGGATTGCAGGAAGCATTCCTCTGTATTAGCCTTTTAGAGGCGACGAGGAATTTCTGCTAATTACTCGGAAAGAATCAAACCGCGAAACATCCGGCACCTATCCCAGTTATATACCCTCACAATGCAGTAGGGGAAAAAAAATTGACGGAATAACGACGATAGAGACCGCCATTTGTTCATT